GTCGCCTTCCCTCGGATCGTTTCCCTTTCCGTCGCCTTCCCTCGGATCGTTTCCCTTTCCGTCGCCTTCCCTCGGATCGTTCCCCTTTCCGTCGCCTTCCCTCGGATCGTTTCCCTTTCCGTCGCCTTCCCTCGGATCGTTTCCCTTTCCGTCGCCTTCCCTCGGATCGTTCCCCTTTCCGTCGCCTTCCCTCGGATCGTTCCCCTTTCCGTCGCCTTCCCTCGGATCGTTCCCCTTTCCGTCGCCTTCCCTCGGATCGTTCCCCTTTCCGTCGCCTTCCCTCGGATCGTTTCCCTTTCCGTCGCCTTCCCTCGGATCGTTCCCCTTTCCGTCGCCTTCCCTCGGATCGTTTCCCTTTCCGTCGCCTTCCCTCGGATCGTTTCCCTTTCCGTCGCCTTCCCTCGGATCGTTCCCCTTTCCGTCGCCTTCCCTCGGATCGTTTCCCTTTCCGTCGCCTTCCCTCGGATCGTTCCCCTTTCCGTCGCCTTCCCTCGGATCGTTTCCCTTTCCGTCGCCTTCCCTCGGATCGTTCCCCTTTCCGTCGCCTTCCCTCGGATCGTTCCCCTTTCCGTCGCCTTCCCTCGGATCGTTCCCCTTTCCGTCGCCTTCCCTCGGATCGTTTCCCTTTCCGTCGCCTTCCCTCGGATCGTTCCCCTTTCCGTCGACTTCCCTCGGATCGTTCCCCTTTCCGTCGCCTTCCCTCGGATCGTTCCCCTTTCCGTCGACTTCCCTCGGATCGTTCCCCTTTCCGTCGCCTTCCCTCGGATCGTTCCCCTTTCCGTCGCCTTCCCTCGGATCGTTCCCCTTTCCGTCGCCTTCCCTCGGATCGTTCCCCTTTCCGTCGCCTTCCCTCGGATCGTTCCCTTTCCGTCGCCTTCCCTCGGATCGTTCCCCTTTCCGTCGACTTCCCTCGGATCGTTCCCCTTTCCGTCGCCTTCCCTCGGATCGTTCCCCTTTCCGTCGCCTTCCCTCGGATCGTTCCCCTTTCCATCGCCTTCCCTCGGATCATTCCCCTTTCCATCGCCTTCCCTCGGATCGTTCCCCTTTTTCCATCGCCTTCCCTCGGATCATTCCCCTTTCCATCGCCTTCCCTCGGATCGTTCCCCTTTTCCATCGCCTTCCCTCGGATCGTTCCCCTTTTCCATCGCCTTCCCTCGGATCGTTCCCCTTTTCCATCGCCTTCCCTCGGATCGTTCCCTTTCCATCGACTTCCCTCGGATCGTTCCCCTTTCCATCGACTTCCCTCGGATCGTTCCCTTTCCATCGCCTTCCCTCGGATCGTTCCCTTTCCATCGCCTTCCCTCGGATCGTTCCCTTTCCATCGCTTTCCCTCGGATCGTTCCCTTTCCATCGCCTTCCCTCGGATCGCTCCCTTTCCATCGCCTTCCCTTGGATCGTTCCCTTTCCATCGCCTTCCCTCGGATCGTTCCCCTTTCCATCGCCTTCCCTCGGATCGTTCCCCTTTCCATCGCCTTCCCTCGGATCGTTCCCCTTTCCATCGCCTTCCCTCGGATCGTTCCCCTTTCCATCGGCTTCCCTCGGATCGTTCCCCTTTCCATCGGCTTCCCTCGGATCGTTCCCGTTTTCCATCGCCTTCCCTCGGATCGTTCCCATTTTCCATCGCCTTCCCTCGGATCGTTCCCCTTTCCATCGCCTTCCCTCGGATCGTTCCCTTTCCATCGCCTTCCCTCGGATCGTTCCCTTTCCATTGCTTTCCCTTGGATCGTTCCCTTTCCATCGCCTTCCCTCGGATCGCTCCCTTTCCATCGCCTTCCCTTGGATCGTTCCCTTTCCATCGCCTTCCCTCGGATCGTTCCCCTTTCCATCGCCTTCCCTCGGATCGTTCCCCTTTCCATCGCCTTCCCTCGGATCGTTCCCCTTTCCATCGGCTTCCCTCGGATCGTTCCCCTTTCCATCGGCTTCCCTCGGATCGTTCCCGTTTTCCATCGCCTTCCCTCGGATCGTTCCCATTTTCCATCGCCTTCCCTCGGATCGTTCCCCTTTCCATCGCCTTCCCTCGGATCGTTCCCCTTTCCATCGCCTTCCCTCGGATCGTTCCCATTTTCCATCGCCTTCCCTCGGATCGTTCCCCTTTCCATCGCCTTCCCTCGGATCGTTCCCCTTTCCATCGCCTTCCCTCGGATCGTTCCCTTTCTATCGCCTTCCCTCGGATCATTCCCCTTTTCCATCGCCTTCCCCCGAATCCGTCGATGTATCAGAATTTCCCACCTGCAGAGCCGATCGAATATTTTCCCCTCGCAGATCGTCCTCGTGGCGGCAGGAAGGGATGGAGGCAGAGATTTGCCGGCCGGGTTTGGAACACATTGCAGAGTCGATCGGATGAAATCGGTTTTCAGGCGTTTCCTTCCCGTCTGCTGTGTGTGATGCACCAGAATCACAAAGGATTGGAAAACCATCGATTGATCGCCAGAATTCGATTGATTGTGAGAGCTGAGCTTTGATTGGTCCGTTTTCTCCTTGATTTTGGCACCAGACGCTGTCATGTCGGCTGTAATAAAGTTGATTGAATAGTTTGGGGGGGCGGTAACACATCGCGGGTTTCTGTTCTCAAAAAACAGGTGCAGGACCCCCCCCCCCCCGAGTCACTTCTTGTCTCCACCCCCCTACCTGCCTCTGAACTGTCTCTTGGTTCCGCCCACCTCCCAGCCCCGCCCCTTTTAGAGAATACAGAACAAAGTATCAATTTTTGGTGCTAAATCATTTGTATGGAATAACAAGAAAATCGTAAAAATAGACCCCCCAGCAACAACAGACCCCCCAGCAACAATAGACCCCCCAGCAACAATAGACCACCCCAGCAACAACAGACCCCCCAGCAACAATAGACCCCCCCAGCAACAACAGACCCCCCCAGCAACAATAGACCCCCCAGCAACAATAGACCCCCCAGCAACAACAGACCCCCCAGCAACAATAGACCCCCCAGCAACAATAGACCCCCCCAGCAACAACAGACCCCCCAGCAACAATAGACCCCCCAGCAACAATAGACCCCCCAGCAACAATAGACCACCCCAGCAACAACAGACCCCCCAGCAACAATAGATCCCCCAGCAACAATAGCTCCCCCAGCAACAATAGATCCCCAGCAGCAACAATATACCCCCCGCAACATTAGACCCCCCAGCAACAACAGACCCCCCAGCAACAAAAGACCCCCCAGCAACAAAAGACCCCCCCAGCAACAATAGACCCCCCAGCAACAATAGACCCCCCCAGCAACAATAGCTCCCCCAGCAACAATAGCTCCCCCAGCAACAATAGATCCCCCAGCAACAATATACCCCCCGCAACATTAGACCCCCCAGCAACAATAGATCCCCCGGCAACAATATACCCCCCCCAGCAACAATAGACCCCCCAGCAACAATCGATCCCCCAACAACAATCGATCCCCAGTAACAATAGACCCCCCAACAATCGATCCCCCAACAATAGAACCCCCAGCAACAATCGATCCCCCAACAATAGACCCCCCAGCAACAATAGACCCCCCAGCAACAATCGATCCCCCAGCAACAATTGACCCCCCAACAATAGACCCCCCAGCAACAATAGACCCCCCAGCACCATCTATCCCCCAACAAGAATAGACCCCCCAACAACAATAGACCCCCCAGCAACAATCGATCCCCCAATAACAATAGACCCCCCAGCAACAATTGATCCCCCGGCAACAATCGATCCCCCAACAATAGACCCCCCAGCAACAATCGATCCCCCAACAACAATAGACCCCCCAGCAACAATCGATCCCCCAACAACAATAGACCCCCCAGCAACAACAGATCCCCCAGCAACAAAAGACCCCCCCAGCAACAATAGACCCCCCCAGCAACAACAGACCCCCCAGCAACAATAGACCCCCCCCAGCAACAACAGACTCCCCAGCAACAACAGACCCCCCCAGCAACAACAGACCCCCCAGCAACAACAGACCCCCCCGCAACATTAGACCCCCCAGCAACAATAGACCCCCCAGCAACAATAGCTCCCCCAGCAACAATAGATCCCCCAGCAACAATATACCCCCTGCAACATTAGACCCCCAGCAACAATAGATCCCCCGGCAACAATAGACCCCCCCAGCAACAATAGACCCCCCAGCAACAATCGATCCCCCAACAACAATCGATCCCCAGTAACAATAGACCCCCCAACAACAATCGATCCCCCAACAATAGAACCCCCAGCAACAATCGATCCCCCAACAATAGACCCCCCAGCAACAATCGATCCCCCAGCAACAATTGAAACCCCAACAATAGACCCCCCAGCAACAATAGACCCCCCAGCACCATCTATCCCCCAACAAGAATAGACCCCCCAACAACAATAGACCCCCCAGCAACAATCGATCCCCCAACAACAATAGACCCCCCAGCAACAATTGATCCCCCGGCAACAATCGATCCCCCAACAACAATAGACCCCCCAGCAACAATCGATCCCCCAACAACAATAGACCCCCCAGCAACAATAGACCCCCCAGCAACAATAGTTCCCCCCAGCAACAATAGTTCCCCCCAGCAACAATAGATTCCCCCAGCTCCACACATAGCTGATGTGTCCAGCCAGGGACGCTGACTGTATGAAGGTAAGTATCAGGCTGTCCGGAGGGGATCCATCCAGGTACAGCATCTGCTGAGCACCTTTACCTGTAATTATCATCTCCGCAGAGCTCACCTGTCGCCTGGATACGCCCCCTTTGGGATATTCCGCCTGGATACGCCCCCCCCCGGGATAGTCCACCTCATCGCCCCTGGCCACCAATCACATCCCGGCTTCGGCTCTCTGTCATCCCTCGGATTGGTGGTTGTGGGAATATTTCAGATGGGTGAATGTGACATTCTCTGCAGGTGAACCTCCGAGGTCCATGTGTGTTATATGATGGATTCCCCGGCAGAGAATATTGGGTGAATTCACATTCACTGCCCAGTGAACACGCCGTAATCGTCACATTGTGAATCGTTTTCAGGATGTCCAACAACATGGTGAAGATTGCTGAGGCTCGCAAGGCCGTGGAGCAGCTGAAGATGGAGGTCAATATAAACCGCATGAAGGTAAGTGACCGCGCATGTCCATACGTGAGAGATGAGGGGTGCCGTATCCCTAACAACCAATCACATGGAAGCTTGCAGGACTTCAAGCGTAGCATCAGTTTGGCTAATGAGCTGACAAAAATGACCTCCCCCTCCCAGTACAGAGCTCCTCCTCCATAATATAGAGCCAACAGCTGAGGTCATGTCCCCATGTTCTTCCTCCTAGGATTAGGTCATGTCCCCATGTTCTTCCTTCTAGGTTGAGGTCATGTCCCCATGTTCTTCCTTCTAGGTTGAGGTCATGCCCCCATGTTCTTCCTCCTAGGATTAGGTCATGTCCCCATGTTCTTCCTCCTAGGTTGAGGTCATGCCCCCACGTTCTCCCTTCTAGGTTGAAGTCATGTCCCCATGTTCTCCCTCCTAGGTTGAGGTCATGCCCCCTATGTTCTTCCTTCTAGGTTGAGGTCATGCCCCTATGTTTTTCCTTCTAGGTTGAGGTCATGCCCCTATGTTCTTCCTTCTAGGTTGAGGTCATGCCCCTATGTTCTTCCTTCTAGGTTGACGTCATGCCCCTATGTTTTTCCTTCTAGGTTGAGGTCATGCCCCCATGTTCTTCCTTCTAGGTTGAGGTCATGTCCCCATGTTCTCCCTTCTAGGTTGAGGTCATGCCCCCATGTTCTCCCTCCTAGGTTGAGGTCATGCCCCTATGTTCTTCCTTCTAGGTTGAGGTCATGCCCCCATGTTTTCCCTTCTAGGTTGAGGTCATGCCCCCATGTTCTTCCTTCTAGGTTGAGGTCATGCCCCTATGTTCTTCCTTCTAGGTTGAGGTCATGCCCCCATGTTCTTCCTTCTAGGTTGAGGTCATGCCCCCATGTTCTCCCTTCTAGATTGAGGTCATGCCCCTATGTTCTTCTTTCTAGGTTGAGGTCATGCCCCCATGTTCTTCCTTCTAGGTTGAGGTCATGCCCCATGTTCTCCCTTCTAGATTGAGGTCATGCCATGTTCTTCCTTCTAGGTTGAGGTCATGCCCCTATGTTCTTCCTTATAGGTTGAGGTCATGCTCCCATGTTCTTTCTTCTAGGTTGAGGTCATGCCCCCATGTTCTTCCTCCTAGGTTGAGGTCATGCCCCCATGTTCTTCCTCCTAGGTTGAGGTCATGCCCCCATGTTCTCCCTTCTAGTTTAAGGTCATGCCCCCATGTTCTCCCTCCTCCTAGGATTAGGTCATGTCCCCACATTCTCCCTCCTAGGTTGAAGTCTTGTCCCCATGTTCTTCCTTCTAGGATGAGGTCATGTCCCCATGTTCTTCCTTCTAGATTGAGGTCATGCCCCCATGTTCTTCCTTCTATGTTGAGGTCATGTCCCCATGTTCTTCCTTCTAGGTTGAGGTCATGCCCCCATGTTCTTCCTTCTAGGTTGAGGTCATGTCCCCATGTTCTTCCTTTTAGGATGAGGTCATGTCCCCATGTTCTTTCTTTTAGGATGAGGTCATGTCCCCATGTTCTTCCTTCTAGGTTGAGGTCATGTCCCCATGTTCTTCCTTTTAGGATGAGGTCATGTCCCCATGTTCTTTATCCTAGATTGAGGTCACGTCCTCATGTTGTTCTTCCTAGATTGAATTCTTGTCCACATGTTCCTTGTCCTAGATTGAGGTCACATTCACATTATCTTCTTCCTAGGTTGAAGTCATGTCCCCATGTTCTTCCTTCTAGGTTGAGGTCACGACCCCATGTTCTTCCTTCTATGTTGAGGTCATGACCCCATGTTCTTTATCCTAGATTGAGGTCATGTCCTCATGTTGTTCTTCCTAGGCTGAATTCTTGTCCACATGTTCCTTGTCCTAGATTGAGGTCAAAATTACCTTACATATCTTCTTCCTAGGTTGAGGTCACATCCCCATGTTCTTCTTCCTGAACTGAAGTCATGTCCCCATGTTCTTCTTCCTGAACTGAAGTCATGTCCCCATGTTCTTCTTCCTGAACTGAAGTCATGTCCCCATGTTCTTCTTCCTGATCTGAAGTCATGTCCCCGTGTTCTTCCTCCTAGGTTGAGGTCCCATGCCCCCATGTTCTTCCTTCTAGTTTGAAGTCATGTCTCCGTGTTCTTCCTGTTAGTGCAAGGTCAGGTCCCTATGTTCTTCCTGCTAAGCTGAAGTCATGTCCCCATGTTCTTCCTCCTAGCTTGAGGTCACGTCCTCATGCTGTTCTTCCTAGGCTGAATTCTTGTCCACATGTTCCTTGTCCTAGACTGAGGACACACTTCCATTATCTTCTTCCTAGGTTGAGGTCAGGTCCCCATGTTCTTCTTCCTGAACTGAAGTCATGTCCCCGTGTTATTCCTCCTATGTTGAGGTCATGTCCCTATGTTCTTCCTACTAGCTTGGGCTCATGTCCCCATGTTCTTCCTTCTAGATTAAGGTCACGACCTTATGTGCCTTCTCCTAGATTGAGGTCACATTCCCATGATCTTCCTAGGTTGAGGTCATGTCCCTAAGTTCCACTTCCTAGGTTGAGATCACATCCCCATTTTCTTCCTCCTAGGTTGAGATCACATCCCCATGTTCTTCCTCCTAGGTTGAGGTCATATCCCCATGTTCATTCTCCAAGGTTGAGATCATGCCCGTGTTCTTCTTCATAGGTTGAGGTCATGCCCCCGTGTTCTTATTTATTGGTTGAGGTAAAGCCCCTTTGTTTTTCCTCCTAGATTGAAGTCAGTTTCCCATGAGCTTCTTCTTAGGTTGAAGTCATATTCCTGTCTTTTTCCTCCTAGGTTGAGTCCCTGTATTTTTTTGCTAGGTTGAGGTCATGTCCTCATGTTCTTCTTCCTAGGTTGAGGTCATGTCCCCATTTTCTTTCTCCTAGGTTGAGGTCATGTCCCCATTTTCTTTTTCCTAGGTTGAGGTCATGTCCCCATTTTCTCTTTTCTAGATTGAGGTCACGTCCCTATGTTCTTCCTCCTAGGTTGAGGTCATGCCTGTGTTTTCTTCCTCTTAGGTTGTGGTCATGGCCAAGGGTTCTTCCTCTTAGGTTGAGGTCATGTCCCCATGTTCTTCCTCCTAGATTGAGGTCATGCCCCCATGTTATTCCTTCTAGGTTGAGCTCATGTTCCTGTGTTCTTCCTAGGCTGAAGTCACGTCCCCATGTTCTTCTTCCTAGGTTAGGGTCGTGTAACTGAGTTCTTCCTGCTAGGTTGAGATCATACCCTCATGTTTTTCCTCCTCCGAGATTTAGGTCATGTCCCCATGTTATTCTTCCTAGGTTGAGGTGTGTCCATTTATTCTTACTGGTTCCTTTCCCCCTTTTCTTCCTCCTAGGTTACAGTCATGTCCATTCGTTCTTCCTGATAAGTTGAGGTCATGTCCCAGTGTTCTTCTTGTTAGTATAGGGCAGTGATGGCGAACCTATGGCACGCAGAGCCATCTCAGTGGGCACGCCAGAAGGAAGAGAGGAAGAGGAAGAGAACGCGCTCTCCTGCGCACCTCCGGGGGCGCGCACCGGGCGATCTCCGTGATCGCTGTGTCCTGCGGACACAGCTGATCACGTGACATGGTAAAAGGCCAATCACAGCGGCCTTTTACCACGTGATCAGCCGTGTCCAATGACGCGCTGATCACCGGGAAATGCAAATGCCGGTTCTCGGCTGCACTTTCCTCACGCTGTCAGATCGTGAGGAAAGTACTGCCGAAAACCGGCAGTTGTCAGAGCGGGGATTGGCACCGATCATCAGGGTCACTGATCATCAGTGCCCTGATAATCGGTGCCCACCTGTGCCACACACAAGTTCCGCCCACTTGTGCCCAGGAATGCGCCCACCTGTGCCCAACAGTGCGCCCACCTGTGCCCAGCAGTGTGCCCACCTGTGCCCAGCAATGCACCGTGTGCCCAGCAATGCACCCACCTGTGCCCAACAGTGCGCCCACCTGTGCCCAGCAATGCACCCACCAGTGCCCACCTGTGCCCACCAGTGCAGCCCAGCAGTGCTGCCAGTCAGTGCCACCAGTCAGTGCCCAGCGGTTGTACCAGTCAGTGCCCAGCAGTGATGTCAGTCAGTGCCACCTATCAGTGCTGTCTATCAGTACCCATTATCAGTGTCGCCTATCAGTGCCACCTATCTGTGACACCTCATTAGTGCTGCCTATCAGTGCCACCCATCAATGATGCCCAGCAGTGCCGCCGGTCAGTGCCGTCTGTCAGTGCCTCCAGTTGGTGCTGTCAGTGCCGCTTATCAGTGCCCATCATTTCCTGCATATCAGTGCATCATCAGAGCCTCCTCATCAATGCTCACCAGTGCCGCCCCATCAGTGCTACCTATCTGTGCCGCCTCATCAATGCCCATCAGTGCTGCCTATCTGTGCCGCCTCATCAATGCCCATCAGTGCTACCTATCTGTGCCGCCTCATCAATGCCCATCAGTGCTACCTATCTGTGCCGCCTCATCAATGCCCATCAGTGCTGCCTATCAGTGCAGCCTCACCAACGCACATCAAAGAAGAAATATTACCTGTTTGCAAAATTTTAGAATAGAAGCAAAGGAAACCTTTTATGTTTTTAATTTTTTGCTCTTTTTTCATTTATAGTGCAAAAAATAAAACACCCAGTGGTGATTAAATACCACCAAAAAAAGCTCTATTTGTGTGAAAAAATGATAAAAATTGCATATGGTTACAGTGTTGCATGACCGCACAATTGTCTTTGTTAAGTGCAACAGCACTGAAAGCTGAAAATTGTCCTGGGCAGGAAGGGGGTAGAAGTGCCCGGTAGGCAAGTGATTAATTCCAGTGTTGGCACTTTGAAATAAAAAAGTTTGTTTTGTGTTGCAGTTTGGGCACTCGGGCTCAAAAAGGTTCGCCATCACTGCCCTATAGGGTCATGTCCCCATGTTTTTCCTTCTAGATTGAGGTCATGTCCTCATGTTGTTCTTCCTAAGTGGAGGTCCTGTCCCCCTTTTCTTCCTCCTTGATTGAGGTTACATTCCTATGAGCTTATTCTTAGTTTGAGGTCATGTCCCCAGGTTCTTCCTAGG